GAATGAATTGTTTGAATGAATTTGACCCGTGCCAGGCAAGTGGGTTCATTTTTTTTATCCTGTCTTTCTTGTCTTGATTGGCCGTCGTTTGTATCGTTTCGTTTTACGACACCGCTTCGAATTATTTCTTTTACTTTTTATTTATTTTTTCCATTTTTTTTTCGTCATTGTTGATCTTTTTTTTTTTTTGCGTAGAGTTTTTTTTTTCCCTTTTTTTTGGGGGGGGGGGGGCTTGAGGTCTTTTCTTTTCTTATTCTTATCTTTTTCTTATATATCTATATATATTTTTATCTTATTTTTTTATTTTTTATTTTCCAAACTTGAATGTCACCTCAAGGAACCGGTTCACCTTCACGTCATTTTGGTCGTCGACGAGTCACGACTCTGGACTTTTTTGGGGAGGCGTAAGGGGTACGCAGGTTCAACTTTTTTTTTGCCGTCGAAAACAAGCGGCTCGTCGATTTGCTTGTTGATTGTCAACGAGTCGACTTTGGCCTTTTTTTTTGCTAGGCGGGTTGTCGATTTGATCGTCGACGAGTCCTCGACTCTTGTCTTTTTTTTAGGGGGGTCGAAATTGAAAAACAAATCGACACTAGTGGTCGAGAGACGAGTCATCGATTTATTTATTATTTTTATTTATTATTTATTTAATATTATTATATTAAATAAAAAATTATAAATTTATTTTAATTTAATTAATTTATTATTTAATTAGTTTTCGTTCGTTCGTTCCACGAAACAAACATTCAAGCGTGAACGTCACCTCAGGGAACCGATTCACGTTCACGTTCATTTTGGTCGTTGACGAGTCTCGACTCTGTTTTTTTTTTGGGGGGGGGGTAAAGGGTAGGTAGGTTCAACTTTTTTTTTGGCGTCCAAAGCAAGTGGCTAGTCGATTTGCTTGTCGACGAGTCGACTTTGTTTTTTTTTTTTGGCCAGGCAGGCAGTCGATTTGATCGTCAACGAGTTGTCGACTCTGGCCTTTTTGGGGGGGGGGTCGAAATCAAGACGAGTCGTCGACTCCGGCCTTTTTGGGGGGAGGGGTCGAAATCGAGATCGAGAAAAACGGTCTCATTTTTTTGGCATCCGAAGCCTCAATCAAATGACTGCAGCCTGAACTTGATTGTTTTGACTGTTCTTAGGCAAGCGGGTCATTCGATTTGGTCTCCTATCAGTCGACAATCAAGTTTGTTTTTTTCTTTTCTTTGTTTTTTTCCCTTCTTTCTTGGTTGTTTTTTTTCCTTTTTTTTTTCTTGTTTTTTTTTTTTTTTTTCTGTCGATGAATGAACAACTTTTTCTGTCGATGAACAAACGATTGAATGAAGGCCCAGTTGAGGTTGTGAAGTATGACGTGACTGGTCTTAGGCAAAGACTGAAATTTAATTGTTTTTTTTTTTTTTTTTTTTTTTTTTTTTCAAGTCGACGCTCATGCCCCTACTGAATCCTACTTCTGTGCTTTCAGCTCTACGAGAGGCATAGAAGTGGGATACGATTCGTAGCAAATTTGTGTATAAAAAGTTGGTGTGGGTGGAGAAAAAAAGTGCACGAAAGACAATTGTAGCCATTGTGTATACGAATTGTGCAATTGATCATCGTGTATACGGATTGTGCAGTCGAAGGTTGTTTTCGTGACTGTAGCCAGTGAGAAGGAAAAAAGGAAGGAGAGTGAGAAGGAGAGCAGGAAAGAAAAAAACAAAAAAACAAAAAAGACAAAGCTGCATTCGTCTTTCTCTACTGTCTGTGCCTTGGTGGCGCTGGCGAAAGAGAAGTAGACGAAGCAGGTGGTGACGAGCAAGAGGCAAGTAAGCGTGATTCAGTTGATAGATCTGTGAGTAGGGCAGTCTTTGGCGTACTATTGGTGTTGTTGGTGTTAGAGAGAGGATTTCTGAGTGATTCGGGTCAAGGCCGGTGTGCAATGGTGGTTCACGTAGGCGGGGGGACAGGGAGAAGAATTGCAGTTAACCATTACTTGCAGCTTTTGCTTTAGTCAACAAAAGCTTATGAACTCCCAACTCCATAACCATAGTCGGTGAGAAGGAGAGAAGGAGAGAAGGAGAGAGAGTGAGAAGGAGAAAATAAAAGAGAAAAAGAAAAAAAAAAAAAAAAAACAGAGTTGCACTCGCCTTTCTTCCCTCGCTCTGCCTCGGTGGTGTTGGCCGGTTGGAGTGTGTGTGAGTCGAAGTTGCGAGACAGGGAGCATGATTGAGTAGATGGGTGCACGACAGGGGACCTTTGTGAGGAACTATTGTTGTTGTTGTTATCGGGGAGAGGATTTGTGAGTGAATTGGGTAAAAGTGGGACTGCAGGGGTGGTTCACGTAGAGGGGAAGGCGGCAAGAACAACTGCGGCTAGCCATTAGTGGCGGTTCTTGTTTCACTCAACAGGAGTTTCTGAACCCCGAGTGCCATAGCCAGCGGTTCATCGACACGACAAATCGGTGAGTTACTTCTTTTTTTTCCTCTTTTTTTTCCCTCTTTCTTTATTTGTTTTTCTTTCTCTGCCACTTTATCTCTCTTTCTCTTTTTTTTTTCTTTTTTTTTTTCTCTCTCTCTCTTTTTCTCTCTTCTCTCTGTCTCTCGTTCTTTCTGTCGCTCTTTCTCTCTCTCTCTCTCTCTCTCTCTCTCTCTCTCTCTCTCTCTCTCTCTCCACACACATACATAATCTCATGATGATTCGGTGAATAGAACAGTCTAACACAGTCATGCTTGACTTTTGTTTTCTTATTTTACTGTGGAGTCGTGTATAACTAACATGACAGCAGACACACGCACACACAAAAAATAAATAAATAAATAAATAAAAATCAACAGAACCATGTCGAACTCGTATAGTGTCACACTAGTGCTAACTGGTTGTGGAATCCTTGCTATATGCACACCTTGCTCTGGAACTGTCTCATAGCTGATCACTTCATACAACCACTTAGGTTAAACATCGAGAAGAAGCAGACTATACCATAGATATACTTTACGTTGCACAGTGGTTCATTTGCGTTCTACCACATATGTTTTTTTTTAATGCGACGGTGACTTAGTTTGTTAATGGGGATAACTTCGCTTTTTTTACTATGAATGGTCGACTTCCATAGCGATGGTCTCACTTCATGAATGGGTGTAAGGCCATACTCACACTAAGCCTTTCATGTCAAAATTTGGCCTTAACTGCTATCAGATACATTCACAAAAATCCCTGTGTGAGTATTATCGTAACTCAACTTCAATTTTGTCGTGTTGGAACCGTTAATAAGTGACAACAACAACTAGGTTCAGTGCGCCGCTTGGCAAAACAATTGTAGGCTGGCGGAATCTGACAAGATCATTCTTGATAGATGTGAAAAACAGAAAAGCGGATAAGTATCAGGGCATACTCATACTAGTACTTCCCTGCATATATCTGCCCGCAATGATGACCCGACTTGGATGCATATTGCAATCACGCCCAGAGCTCAGTCGGAAAAGTCATAGTATGAGTGTGCCCTGAAGCAATTTGTAGATTCATAGATCTTTTTCTTTTGTGTGGATAAGGCTAAACCTATCACAATTGACTCGTCAGACCCTATTAGCCTTGACTCATTAGACTCTGACAAAATTGACTCATCAGACTCTGTCAGACTTGACTCATAAGACTCTGTCACACTTGACTCATCAGACTCTGTCAGACTTGACTCATCAGAATCTGTCAGAGATGAGATCGTGTCAGTAGGTACATAGAAGATCGGATCATCATATTGCCAAATGACACCCCCCAAATTGCTTGATTGGGCCCCGAAGAAGATCCAAACAGAAAAGGTTAGTAGTAATTAAATAAATCTTATCATATCCTATCACATTGTCACGTGCCCGCTAGACGACAACAGACGAAAAGCAGACTCATCAGACTCTATCAGAATTGATTCATCAGACTCTGTCAGAAATTGAAAATTTTATAATATATACATACTTTATTAAATAGGGTTGACTCATCAGACGCTGTCGGAGATGAATCCGCTAGGTAGGTAAGTAAGTAGGTAGGTAGGTAGGTAGGTAGGTAGGTAGAAGATCAGATCATCATATTGGCAAATGACACCCCCTCATCGCTTGACTGTTGAGTTTGTTCATGAGTGAAGTCTATACAAAGACCCGTGATATTGTAATGAAGCCTATATACAAAGATCCAACCAGAAAAGGTTAGTAGTAATTAGATGGATCCTATCATATCCTATCACAATACCACGTATCCGCTAGACGACAAACAAACGAAAAGTGGACCTTTTTTTTCAGAACAACATCACAACGGTCGATAAATTGGAACAATACAGAGAAGATTAATTATTTAGGATGGACCCTGTGCAGGGATACCACGCATATGTGAACCAAGATACAACCCAAACAACTTTTTGAAAAGGAATGACGGGAGGGGGGGAAACGCATCTCAGCCTCCAGCTGGCTGAATGGTAAACACATGTAACACATGTAACTCTTGAGAAACAGTTCTTATGACTTCAATT